ACGATGCCGGCGAAACGTTTGAGAATGTACCAAGTCCACTGTCTGATGCTGGGAATCATGACAACTACTAAGGCTGACGACTTCGGACTAGATGCGTTCTACTAAGTCGCCCTGACAACAAGACCAAGTTGCGACAACCATTCTGCCTAGACCATCTATCTATCTATCTGTCTGTCTGTCTGCCTATCTGTTTTCCTTTCATTCTATCTACCTATTTGTCTGTTCGTTTGTCTGTCCGTATGTCTGTATATCTAACTATCTGTCGATCTATCTGCCTATATATATGGCTGTATTTTTATATATCCATCTGTCTATTTGCTTATCTATTAGTTAATTTTCTGTCAGTATGTTCGTCTAAGTCACGATGAGTTTATTTTAATTTCGAGTGAATTTCTTCAGCAAACACTTTTACTCTAAATGAAAGTAAGCTCAGCAATTATGAGAACTTCGAACAGGGCGCGCCCAACTAGGTCGTCCTGACAGCATGACCAAGTTGCGAGAACGAGGTGGGATCACTTCTATGCATAGTAAAGTTTAATGAAAAGTTAAGCCTTCTCTGTCCCAACCCTTAATGCAGTCAAAGCGACAGAGACTTCAGCAACGACGACAGCCATACAAGATTTTTGGCATCCTGGTATGAACGGTAACCTGCACCTGATTCTAGCAAGCTGACGCCGCTTGCCAGAAGGCTGACTGACTTGCGATGCGGCGCTGTCGAGCCAAATGATTGGAGAGCTAAGCCGGATGGTCCTGATGTCGACAGAACTGGTGATACTTGGGTTGGGTTGGCCGATTGTTGCGCAAGATTGCCGACACTTTCTACACAACTGCCCAATTGGCCAGTAGTGGTTGGCGGATGCTCTTGACCTGAAGAGTAAAATAACGCCTACAGGTCAGAGGGATACGGCTTCATATGGCTGACGAAGCATTTAAGGAAATTTACATAATTAATATACTCTAATTGTATCAGTAATTCCAGGATATGTACTTGCGTAATGCAAGCAAACATAGGGTAATGCAAAAATTAAAAAAAGGAATTTCATTCATATATATATATATATAATTATAATTAATTTATATATATTATATATATAATATACAACACTAAGTATACATATATATATATACTTTGTACTTCATATAATATATATATATATATATATTTATCATAATGTGTACATATATACATACATACTGTTCATAAATTACTCAGTCTCAAGAATGAAATGTGTCTCGGGTCGAATTCTGCTGAGTTACTGAGACGATAAGGTGAAGTAGAAACTGCAGTCAAGTCTGAACTTTAAGCATTTTAAGAGACAAGACCTGGTGAAATTAATTGAATCATATGACCTTTTTTATCCAATTACAGTGTGGGGCATTCGAACTAGGGCAATTCAAGAACTGAAAGCTGGGTTTTTTACACAATAAGATGAGTAGACCTCATGATGCCAGTGAATCATATCAATTGACTACATTACTTATTTTTTGTATATGAGTAGAGTTTCCAGACTACCAGTAAATCTATTTATGAAATGTATTTACCCCATTTCGCTTAAAGTGACACGGTAAACAATCGGCCACATTGCCACGAGTGCCCCTGGGTCACAGGTCAGATGTGACATTTTCCAGTATCCCATTCTTTGGTGGAATTACGATGACGCAAACGTATTTTTGCTATATCAATCACTATGTTATTTATTTTTCTTATATAAGTAGAGTCTCAAGACTACCAGTAAATCAATTTTATGAGATAAATTTACTTCATTTCTTTTAAGGTGTTGAAGGACTAGCAGTTGATTTGTCATACAATGCTATGAGTGCTCACATGCTGCACTATCATGGTTCGACTCCCGCTGGGGG